GTCCTGGAATGGCTCCCAGAATCCTGACAAGATCCATCTGGATTCCTAACCCATAGGACCGCTGTGCGCGTGGTACACTCCTAAAGTAAAGAAAAAAGTGTTGTTTTATCAAATCTCTCCTTTCAACTTTTGTTTTGTTTTATAATTGAAATGAAAAGAAAAAGAGTGGAATGCCTAAGCTCTCTAATGACACATTACAAACCTCAAGGTGACTATATACCCTGGAGTGCCATTCAGAAAAGTCTTGAGAGGCAATAAACCAAGAATCGCCAAAAAGATCATGCGGTTGAGCCCGCAGTCAACATCACATGTGCCTTTCTTCGCTTCTCCTGATGTTTTGCCTGTTTTAGCGACGCAGGCGCAGTTGGAGTAAGAGAAGGAGCCCTGAAAAGATACAGCACAATAAGAGTCATTACATAGCACCACGGGGACCCAATATACGGCAAGCAGGGAAAAAAGTCTATGACGATGACTTGACATTTTATACCTTGTTCGTTTTGTTCCTCTCACTACAGCCAGCATGACAGGGCGAAAAATAGGTCAGCCGTCCACCGCACACAGGAACATAATTTACCCCAGAGCACTTACAGGCGTGGTTACATGGTGTAGAGAGCTGGACTGGACCCGAGCTATGTGGAATTTAAGGAGAAATTATCCATTAAATGATTATCTTTCCTAATGTACAGACTCATGAACTGAGAAAAGAAGAAATGATCGATGGAAGGAACTTAGGGAGGTTGGAAGAGCCATAAGGAGGAAGGGAATGAAAGAATGGACAATTGAAAAGATATCAGAATTGGTAGTCGACGGATGAAAGGATGAACAAGCTGAATAACCTACGGAAGGTGGGACAGAAGGATGTATGATATGCAATGGACGGATGGACGAAGGGACGAACAGACGCACGGACGGACGGATGGACGGATGGACAAAGAGACCGACACACATACGGACGGATGNTTAAATTCGCCGGTACCCATTCATGGTATACCTGTGCGGAGAGAGGCACTGTGAGAGTAAAGTATCTCGCAACATCGCATGTGCCTTTCTTCGCTTCTCCTGATGTTTTGCCTGTTTTAGTGACGCAGGCGCAGTTGGAGTAAGAGAAGGAGCCCTGAAAAGATACAGCACAATAAGAGTCATTGCATAGCACCACGGGGACCCAAAATACGGCAGGCAGGAAAAAATACAGCGAAATGACAAGTCTATGACGATGACTTGACATTTTATACCTTGTTCGTTTTGTTCTTCTCATTACAGCCAGCATGACAGGACGAAAAATAGGTCAGCGGTCCACCGCACACAGGAACATAATTTACCCCAGAGCAGTTACAGGCGTGGTTACATGGTGAAGAGAGCTGGACTGGACCCGAGCTATTTGGAATTTAAGGAAAGAAATTATCCACTAAATGATTATTTTTCCTAATCTGCAGACTCATGAACTGAGAAAAGAAGAAATGATCGATGGAAGGAACATAGGAAGGTTGGAAGAGCCGTAAGGAGGAAGGGAATAGAAGAATGGACAATTGAAAAGATATCAGAATTGGTAGTCGACGGATGAAGGATGAACAAGCGGAATGACCTGCGGAAGGTGGGACAGAAGGATGTATGATATGCAATGGACGGATGGACGAAGGGACGAACAGACGCACGGACGGACGGATGGACGGATGGACAAAGAGACCGACACACATACGGACGGATGCAGGGGCGGACGGGTGGAATTGATGGAATAACGGA